TGAAGGGAGGTGGGGGGTGCAGGAAGAGACTGGACAAAAATCGTACACCTATGGATGAGGACAATGGGGGGGGCTGAAGGTGGGAGGGGGGGACAGGGTGTAGGGGAGCTATGGGGGGGGAACAACTGTAATCTGAACAATAAAGATTTAATTTAAAAAAAGAGGCTTACTAGAAATACATTGAAAGATTTGATTGATTAAATGACATGTACAGGGTGTTCGAAAAATGTATATATACTTTGAATAATTATAAAGGCAGTGTTTATTAAAATATATTTCATTTTCAAAATGTAATAGAATCTATAGACATTGTGTGTATACATTTTGGGGGGGACACACTGAATATAGTTTCATTAATTAATTCTTGCTTCTTTTAAAGCCAGTTTATAGTAAAGACAGCAAAGTAATCTTGAAATACTGTGAAAAAATGTTTTCATTTCTACAGAAAATGGTAATTTATTCATTTTCAGGGGTGGGGAACCTTTTTTTTTTGCCAAGGGTCATTTGGATATTTATAACACAATTAGTGGACAATACAAAATTATAAACTTAAAAATTAGCCTGCTATATTTGGTCAAACATTTAACTCATCCCTAATACCTTGGCAGGGCCAGACCAAATGATTTCACAGAGTTGGACGTTCCCCAAACCCCGGCTTGCCTTTGAAAAACCACAGAAGGATTATTTTAAATCTGCAATTGATAATAGACACAATCCCTGTAGTGTAGTAAAAAGAACATGGTTAGGGACAGAAGACCTAGGTTTCAACCCCTTTTTCAACATTGAGCATAATGGAAATGAGAAAGCCTCCCTTGGAGGTGGTCTAAGAAATAAAATGATTGTATGAACATACTTTGCAAAAATGTTAAACACTGAATGAGTTACCATTACTTTTATTCTCTTGTTGATGTTATATTGAAGAGAAAAAAAATCTCCATAATGAAATATTTCATTGATAACATTTCCAACTCTAATATTAACAGCAAATGCCTGTCAAACACATTGTTTTGTTTAGTCCTCACAGTAACCTCATGAAATAGGCATTTTTATGTTCTACCTTTTACGGGTAAGGTAAATGAGGCAAGGCAGTTAAGGTCACACATCTAGTGGAGCTGGGATTTAAACTCGGGTGGTAGGATCCCATGTCTGGGACCCTAGCCTGCAATCTACTGTTTGCTCTTCTGTTAGTATAATAGAAATCATTTCATTTGACCTCTTACCTTGAAATCCTTGTTCCCAGCCGAGTTCTTTCTAGTAAAAATAGCCTTTCCTATCCTCATCAGCACCACCATTTCCTTAGGACATTAATCAATACAATCTCTTTCACATTTCTTGGTTTCCCCCTTCAAATTTTAGCAGTATCCTGAGCCTCACAAAGTGTAAAAACCCTCTGACTAGGAGATGTCTGCTATCAAGTGACCACCCTATTGTTTCAAGTGCTCCATTAAATAATACACTATGTAAAAGTAACACATAATGGTGTTCAATAAATGTTAATTTCCAAATAATAGTAACCTGCATTTTTCAGAAGCGTTACAGCTGATTCTAATGCACACTAAAGTTTAAGAACCAAAATATAAGAATTCAAATCCAGGTAAGGTCTGAGAAGCAATATACGATAGTGATTATGAGCATGAATCAAGCTACTTTTACATTCTACCATTTATTACAGTTCCTTAACTTGTCTTCATGCCTCAGTGTCTTCATCTGTAAAACAGGGATGATGATAGCTACCTACGTATGGGATTGTTGTGAGGGTTAAATGAGTTAATATATACAAGAAATTAAAATTGTTCCTAGCACCTGGAATATTACTTTCCTATTACAATTCCTTTCCCCTTCAATAAGAATTCTAAACTCTATCCATTGAAACCCTCAATTGTAATGGCATAGTAAACTCTCAATTACCCCTATGTACTGATTATCTCTGGTGTCTGCCAGTCACATTCTAGTTTAGTGTGAGTTTCTATACTTTCCCATTATTTGGACATAATACATTTTCTTCTAGTAGTTTTTTGTCCTAGTATTTCAGATAAATAGTTAACTCATCTGTATTTAAATTTATTTCACTAGTTTAGGGGTTTACAAAAATATCCTCTTACCTGTTGTCTATGGTACTTCCTTCTTTAAGAGGATAACTCCATAACTGAAATGTTCTTTGTTTACTATTCTGATAACAGAAAAGCCATGGGCAACACTTTAGTAACATGCATTTAAAGAAAATAATACTTTAGGAAAGGAGTATGATGAATAAAATCCCACCTGTGTTTTTTTGTGAGCATGCTCTGACAAATTAAGCTCTAGCATCAGTTGCTCTACTGGAATTTCCAAATGGTTCTATAAAGCAGCAGAAGACTTTTAAGCACAATCTATCTCTGTCCCTACTCTTATTCTAAGACTGATAGTTGTTGTAACTAAGGGATATGTAGTTCCAATAAAGAAATATATAGTAATATATATTCCTTTTAAGACATACAGATGTCATTTGTTTTTCCTTTGAAGACATACAGATTTCATTTGTTTTTGCTGTCTTCATAGGAATTAGTATAATCTTATAAATACCAACTAAACAGTGTTAACTAATGAGCCTTAAATACTGTTAAGGTTATCAGTATTTTACTAAGAGTTAAGTGTTTTATAGTTTGATCAAAAAAAGGTAAATGAAATTAATTTTCTCACTACTTCAAAATATTAACCATTTCAACTGCTTTAAGATATTTTAAGTGCTGAGACCATTACCTTTGGCAGTGATTAGAAAATACTATATTCACTATAAAGTTAATTTCCATATATAGTATTGTATATTGAAAAAACAACATAACCGCCGAAACCGGTTTGGCTCAGTGGATAGAGCGTCGGCCTGCGGACTGAGGGGTCCCGGGTTCGATTCCGGTCAAGGGCATGTACATGGGTTGCGGGCACTTGCCCAGTGGGGAGTGTGCAGGAGGCAGCTGATCGATGTTTCTCTCTCATCGATGTTTCTAACTCTCTATCTCTCTCCCTTCCTCTCTGTAAAAAATCAATAAAATATATTAAAAAAAAAAAGAAAAAACAACATAACCAAATAGTAATTTAATGACCAATTTGCAGCCATAAAAAAATAACAGCTTTAACTTGATTAAAGAATTCTACAGACATGAAATATAAAGTTTAACTTTGAGTAAAGAATTTTTTAAAGAATATAACATTTAATTTTAAAATAATGTTTTGTGAATTATTTAAAGCCAAACATTTATCCTTACCTTGTTAATTTTGCCTGAAAGAATGTGTATAAAAAATAACAATTAATAGTTACATAAAATTGGTTGTACTAAAAACAAACCCCCTTTTATATGAGTGGTTATTCATATGAGTACATTTTCATATATTTATAAATATAAGTATATAGACATCTAGGATTTCTTACCACCTGCTGCACTATCCCTTCCAGGTGGGAGGTTTTTATTCTCAGGAACAGGTACTTCTGAATCCAAATTCCAGTGAGATAAATTCTACAACAATATTTGTTTTAGGATAAACTTAATGTTAAGAAAATTTTAAAAAGCTCAAGTACATCATTTGACATGTCCTTTGGGTAGAGTATGACAAAAGGCACAAAGTTTCATGACCCCTCTGCCACCTAGAAGGGTACTACCAGCATATTTGAGGAGTATCAATGTTCTCTTATCAAGTTATTATCTGCTTGATAACACTTATTAATCAGGAAATGGAAAGGCTTTTACAATAACTTATGGTTTCACTCTCACTTTCTTAAAAATAATGGCACACGGGTTTTCAAAATTGAGTTTAAAATATAATGTCCACTTCATTGTGTAAAATTCACCAGTTTCTGTATCTGAAAGCCTATAAATCAACCAAAGGAAATTCCTAATCCTCACATTATACTCAACAATGACCAGCCCACTACTCATTCTGGGCTTCAGATGTTGAAAATACTCAAAAAATGAATAAGAAAATGTACAAATATCAACTGAGTGTTCATGTTCCAGACATTGTGCTGAGTGCTGCGGGGGGGGGGGGGGGGGG